ATTGGAGCCAAGGATACTCCCCCCGATCAAAACAGCAAACTAGAAACAGTCAGCATACATGCTGCTGCTGCTGCTGCTGTTGCTGCTGATGCTGTTGCTGCTGCTGCTGCTGTTGCTGCTGCTGTTGCTGCTGTTGCTGCTGCTGCTGTTGTTGTTGTTGTTTCTGCTGTTGCTGCTGATGCTTGTGCTGGCGTTGCTAATGGAACGGGGTGGCAGCTGGTGCGCGCTCTGCATAGATGCACCAAAGAGGGTTTATGTTCCTGTTGCTGCTGCTGTTGCTGCTGCTGTTGCTGCTGCTGTTGCTGCTGCTGTTGCTGTTTTTGTTGCTGCTGTTGTTGTTGCTATTGTATATTTTGTTGTGTTTGTTGCTGCAGAGCAGCAGGAGACGAACCGGATGGTGCGTGAGCTGTTGCTGCGGGAGCAGCAGCAACTGCTGCAGATGGGGGGGTTCCTGCAGCAGCAGGAGGTGCAGCAGCAACTCGATGAGCTGCAGCAGGTGCTGCAAGGGTGGGATAAAGTTGAAGCTTATGATGCCCAGATAGAAGAAACAGAGAGAAGACTAGAAAAGCTAGAAGCAGCGATTGCTGCTACAAGGCAGCAACTCAGGTGCTGCTGCTACTACCGCTGTTGCTGCTGGTGCTGCTGTTGCTGCTGTTCCTGCTGTTGCTGCTGCTGTTGCTGCTGTTGCTGTAGCTGCTGTTGCTGTTGCTGCTGTTGCTGCTTCTGTGTTTGTTGCTCTTGCTGCTGTTGCTGCTGCTGCTGCTGCTGCTACGACAGCTGACAGAAGCAGGCCTTGCAGAGCCATCAAAAAAAATAAGGATTGCTGCAGTTGCTGCAGTTGTTGCTGCTGTTGCTGTCGTTGCACTTATTGCCGTTGTTGTTGTTGCTGCTGCTGCTGTTGTTGCTGTTGCTGCTGCTGCTGCTGCTGCTGTTGGTGCAGAATGGGCTTCATTGGGTGCTCCCCAGACTCCGAGTCTGCTGAGGCTGAGGCTGACGCCACTGCAGCAGCAGCAGCAGCAGCAGCAGAAGCAACAGAAGCAGCAGTACCTGGAGGAGAGAAAGAGCAACACCAACAAGAGCAGGAGCAGCAGCAGGAACAGCAGCAGCAGCTTGATGCCCCGTTGCAGCAGATGCTGCCGCCCGATATGGAGCTGCTGCTGTCGGGGGACACGCTGTGCTGCGGGTCCCCTGAGTTGCTGCTGCAGCAGCTAAGGAGGATGAAGGGAGCAGCAGATGCAGCAAACCTCAACAAAGTACCAATCAACCTCAGAAAGAGGCTACAGAAAGCTGCTGCTGCTGCTGCTGCTGCTGCCGCTGCTGCTGCTGCAGACAACAGCAACGAAACTGCAGCAGCAGACAACGCGGATAGTGCTGACGACAGGCAACCCGCAGCAGCAACAGCAGCAGCAGCCAACCGGGGGAGCGCAGTAAACGCAGCTGATGCAGCAGGACTAGCAGCTGCAGCAACAGCAGCAGCAGCAGCAGCAAACGAAGCAGCAGGAGCAGCAACAACAGCAGCAGATAGGGGAATATGGATGTTTGTAGCCAAACGAAGGAGAAGACAGCGCCACACAGAGAACGGAAAGGGCTCAACTTCACGTGTACATACACCACAACGTGCAGCAGCAGCAGCAGCAGGAACAGCAGCAGCTGCAGCAAACGAAGCAGCAGGAGCAACCATACAGTCTACATCTGCAGCACAAGCAGCAGCAGCAGCAGAAGCAACAGCAGCAGCAGCAGAACGCTGCTCCGCTGCATACGCTTCGCTTGAGGCATTCGCTGCATCTGCTGCCCGCGACAGTGGGCCTGCCTTCACGTCAGTGTATATAACCCTAAACCCTAAACCCTAAACCCTAAGCCCTAAACCCTAAACCCTAAACCCTAAACCCTAAGTGTATGTAACTCTAGACCTTAAAACTGCAAAGAATCTCGGTGTGAGAGAAGCATAAGATCTAGGGTTTAGGGTTACGTGTTTGGGTTTTAGGGTTTAGAGTTTATGCATTAGGGTTTGGAATTAGGGTTTAGGGTTTAGGGTTTAGGGTTTAGGGTTTGCGTGTTGGGGTGTACAGACACTCCGACGCGGCGTTAAAAGAGTTGCAGCGAATCGACCAAAGGCTGGAGGAGCTGTCGCTACAGCTGAATGCTGCAGCTAAGGCAAGAGAGGAGGCAGCAGCAGAAGCAGCAGCAGCAGCAGCAGAAGCAGCAGCAGCAGCAGAAGCAGCAGCAGAAAAAGCAGCAGCAGCAGCAGCAGCAGCAGCAGCAGCACCCGTTACGGTGGCAGCAGAAGCCGCAGCAGCAGTTGCAGCAGCAATGGCACCAGCTGCAGCAGCAGCACAAGCCGCTGCCGCTGCCAGGGCAGCAGCAACAGCAGCAGCAGCAGCAGCACAGCAGCAGCTGGAAGCTTCAACAGGGACCCACGACACAGCAGCAGCAGCAGCAGCAGCAGCAGATAAACAGGAGAAAGTTAGTTGTATGTTAGAGGAGGAGACAAAACAGAGAGAAACAAAGAAAGAAATACAGCAGCAAATGCATGCAGACAATGCAGCAGCAAGGGGGCCCCACAGACGCAGCAGCGGACTCCGCAGCAGCAGCTACTGCAGCAGCAGCAGCAACCATGTGCAGCAGCAACGCCGAAGAGCCCAAAGCCTCAAAGGCAAAAAACTCAGCACTGCTGCTGCTGCTGCTGCTGTTGCTGCTGCTGCTGCGGTTGCTAATGCTTCCACAACAACCACGGAGAAGTCGACGGTCAGGCTGGAGGCAACGGGAGTCGGGTGCAGCGCGAAACAGCAGCAGCAGCACCAGCAGCAGCACCAGCAGCAGCAGCAGCAGCAGCAAGATGAGCAACAACAGGTGGAGGAGCAGAAGCAAGCGCTGGCGCAGCCGCAGCAGCAGCATCATGATCAGCAGCAAGAGCAGCGGGAGCCCGTGGGCATACAACCAGCAGCAGCAGGAGCAGCAGCACCAGGTGCAGCAGCAGCAGCAGCAGGAAGTGCAGCAGGTCCACCAGCAGCAGCAGGCGCAGCAGCAGCAGGTGTACCAGCAGCAGCAGCAGCAGCAGCAGCAGCAGCAGCAGCAGCAGGTGGGGTGAAGGGCTTGATAAGGGGTATAAAGAAACCCCTCACCGGCCTCCGACTTGCTGCAGCAATGGGCAGGCAACGGCAGCAGTCTTTTCAAGCAGAGCTGCAGGTGAAGCCTCTATCCCGATCCACGCAAACAACAAAACCAAACCGAGACGTC